GACGTAAATGAGCTTTAGCGAAGCGGAGGACCAAAAAGAAGCCAAGAAACGCGATCTGAAGGCGTGACAAGGGGACACGTGCCGTGACATCCTTGGCGATTTTTGGCAGATTTTACCGCCGGAGTGTTTCGCAGGGCCTACAACGACGCGACGTTTTCGATGCTGCCGCTACGACAAATGTCCATTAACCCTAGCCTCGGAGGATCTGAGCATGCATAAAGCGCGCTGCAGCAGTGTACAACGTGCGTATCATACCGGATGCTGCCAACGTCGAGGCGCTAATACTTATCTAGGCTGCCTTCTCGCTCTGTCTAGGCGAGGCTTCGTGAACACGCCGCTACTTCCAAGTGTGCTACGCACATACACTACAGCGCTTCACGCTCGACGGCCGGGTCGTCGCATAGTTCGCAGCCTGAGTGCGACCAGAATTTGCGCCCAGGTCTGGTCTGGGCAGTGTTGAAGCCATCGCGGCTCTCGCGTATGCTGCTCCTGCCACCGCCTGCCCGAACATCATCACGTGTGAATTCGTCTTCTCTACATTTCTAAGGCTGGCGCTTATGTTTCCTGTTTAGAAGTCCGACCAAGAACTGCTGTGACGCTGTCTGTCTATAGAGGCTTTCAGTTCTGGAGAGGCTGTGTGCTTCTTGTCGTAAAGCGATTGCCATTGATAGCACAACAGTCAATGTCGTGCGACAATGATACCCCAAGTCCCTTATATGAGCAATTGGGGACCTATTTCAGACGCAATAATTCATTGAACAGCCCAGGATGCCCTTTTACCTGTGTCAGAACAGTACGTGCACTGCCTGGGCCAAGCCTGGGCCCTGGCACAATCTATCATTCTTCCTCAGACGACTTCTCAGTGGCATTTGTTGGCTGGCTCCTCATCGATTCTCCCTTTCCATTCACCAGACTTATACCTGGGTTCTTTCGAAAGCCTGAACGGCATACCACCTTTCCAACTTCCTTCCTTCTTTCCACAATGTTCTCTGTCTTGGTTGAGGCGACCACGCACATCTACAACAGCACAGCCGCTCACAGCCTCTTCATCTCGTCATTGGAATGTCGTATTTGCTTTGGGTCTCGACATCTACCCAAGTCATCTGTCATCCGCGTGTATCACTCGCTGATATCCATTTGACTTTCATCCCAATTTTATCCACAGTCGGTGCACGGTGCCAGATACTTTTGGCTCTTAGAAGGTCAGCGATTCTGCAACTCGATTCAACCAGTGGTTTCTCTACGTGCGAGCGGCCTTCCTCCGACCCTAGCAATGCCGTCCCATGCTGTCGGGTTCACGAGTACAGCCTTATCCCGTTCGGCCCACGTAACGCAGCGCTTAAAGAAGCATATCTATCATGGCAGTACAGGAAAACGTATAATACACTCCTGGAAAGTATACAGCTATTGACGCTCTCGTTCTGACTTCCACGACCAGCATGCGCATCTTCGTTGGTAAACTCATTGCAAGACGAGGCGCTCGTCAACGAACACAGGAAAACGCCTCCAATATCCCTAGCCGTCTTATGCCCGCCTCTACTGCGCCCGTTAGCCCTGCGATCCCCGCCCCATACACAATGCCCTCACCCTTGTTGGTTGCCAGTGTACATGACCAGCACGACAGTACCGTATTGGCGGACAATGTTTTGACGGCCTCCAGCACGATATGCACCCTTGCAAAGGACGTCGGAGAAGCGCTTGCAGCTGTTCCAGGATTCAAAGCTGTTGCAGGGGTAGTTGTTACTACTCTTAAGGTTGCCGAAGTGAGAGATTTAGGATTGAATAATAACATCTGTCTGACTGCTTGGCGGTAGGAATGTCAGGTCTGCAGACGTGCTGTAAAAGGCGTGTCCACGCGTCTAGAGATGACGACGACGGACATCGTCCGCCTGCTTGGCGAGCTCGCTACGCAAGGCGAGCATATGAATCCCGATAGGTTGGCCAAGATCGAACACTCCCTCGAGGAGTATCTCCAGTAAATATAAATTGCCACTTCCTATGGTACTATCTCATACCTTCTTCATACAGGCTCGTCCTGGAAATACAACGCAAGCTGGTTAAAATGAAGAGGTATACAACATGGAAGCGTATCGTCGTGCGGAGAACGGCGCTACTGAGGGAGTTCGAAGATTACGAGCGCGAGTTGAACCAGACGGCACAGAATTTCCAGGTAAACCTTGCGTTTGTCCTCTGTGTCAAACTGTGTTTTTCACGCCAGTCGGCCACACAGCGGGACTTGCTGTGTGGCATTGCCACAGACGTCGCTGTTATTCACCAACAGCAACGTTGGTCGAAACGCCTGGATATATCGGCGGTCTTTCTTTTGATGAGAAAGACTCTGATCGATCTGCTATGCGCTTGGCCAGCACTGTATCCGCTCGCAATTCTCTCTGCCCGGCGAACAACTCCGTCTCTTATGGGTTAGGCCCGATCGACTTATATGTCTGATATAACGAGGGCCCATTGATAGGCCGAATCGACATTATTTCTTGCATCGATTCGACACTGGCGTTTGCGACGACACTCGTTGGTGGACTCCGCTTTTCTCAAAGCAGAAGTTCCAACAAAGCGCCGCGCGATAAACACGTCCCTTTTGATCCTGACAGTATGCAGCCGCCGGTCGGGTGCTACAGTACGCAGGGTGCGACCAGACAGTCTTCATCGAAGACCACTTCGCATCTCGAATGCAACTCCTTCGATGAGCAGCTACAAGGCTGCTGTTTACACTTTCCTTTCTTTCCTGTCTTTCCAACAGGCTCTCGATACTCATCGAGGGTTATCCACCACCACCACCACCATATCGTAGATCATTGGTGTTCTGATATTTGGCCGTTGAATCGGCGGTCGAAGACCACTTCGCATCTTGAACGCAACTCCCTTGCGTGCCTGCCGAGTCGAACAGCCTTGTCGACACTGCGCGCTTCTTGGATGTCCGGCTCCGCGCTGGCCATCGTGGAAGGCCTGACCCCCGTTACGCTGCTTATCGACCGCGGCCGCGAGCTCTTGGGCGTCACCTTCTACGCCAATTCCACGATGTTGAACGACATCGTCCATATGCAAATTGTTATTCTGCAAGGTGCATAGCACAGCATCCTTGACAGAGTGACTTCGGACAGACACATTATTATTGTTGTTGTGATACGGGGGCATGGGGGGGGGCGTGAGATGGGCCCCTTCTGCGGAGAGGGAGAGAGCGACGTCCGAACGACGAGCGATTGAGAGACGGGTGGCCTCATGCCCATAAACAAATGCCCTGTACGTCTCTGATCTAGAGCTCTTTGACACATTGATTTACAACTTACAGAGATCACACTAGGTATCCTGACCTAGGAGTCTAGAGGTGAGTGCCGCACTTGAACACGCGACATACGGCGCTTTGCGAGCCGAACATCACTATATATGCTGATCGAACTTGGACTGAATGCTTGGATGGAGTTAGGACTTACAGAAGAATTACGATCTACGTGCACTGAGACTTACAGGTTTGCCTACATACAGTAGGTAAGTAACTTCTTCATCCGAAATCAGCTCAAACTCTTACCTCCGATGACAGAGCATCTCCCTCGACGACTCGGACAACTCGAGGCTCTTGCATCGCGCATCTGAGAGATCTCATGCAGCAACTACTTCAAGCATGCGGTGCACGGCCGACTTCTTATTCTACCAGAAGACGCACTGAACATGCGTGTAGCTCGCCACGTACCTTGAAGATATCAATGAACAAAAAGGTGTATGCATCTTTTAACAAGTAGTAATCTTGCTGATGAGACGACATTCGAAGGGGAATCGCCTACTGCTACGAAGAACGGCGCTGCTGAGGCAGTTCAAGTATGAACGCGAGATGGACCTGCCAGACGGCGCGGAACTTCCAGGTGAGTCCCATGGATGTCCTCGTTCTGTCGAGTTCCCACTGTCACCTGGCATAGCACGATTTGCTGTGTGGGACGTAGCCGTCTCTATTCATAAACCGAATGGTGTTCATCAAGATATCAGCATTGCTTCACATTTTACTTCGGGTGGCGTATATCGGACCGGGACGTATACTGTATTCAGTTCCTAGGACTTTAAGTCCACCCCTTACGTAGGCTACTGTAGCGCGTCTATTCAGGTCTATTCTCTGCGAGGAAAGATACACGACACCTAGATACATGAATCGTGGTACTACTATAAGTATAGGTACGTAGACCCCGTTCAAATATCTAGAGCTCAGGTACCGTGAAGTTGGTGCTCCAGCCATCATACTCATACTCATACTCATACTCGAGGCGATCGCACTGAGCCCTCGCCTCTGCTCCCTGCTCAGGCTACACCTCGAGCACCCAAGTTCTCCTCCATGACTCATGACATGGAGAGCCAGAGAACGACAAGAAGTTGGAGGCTGGAGCAGCGCAAAAAGGTTTCTCATGCCGGATAGGGTAGTGGAAACAACCTAGGTTAGCATACCGAGAGGTTGTTTCCCGGTAAATTACCGGTTATTTACCGGTTTGTAACCTCAGAGCCCGGGAGCTAGGTTATTTACCTCCACGTGACATTTTCACGTGATCTGTGGCGCACAAATTCGGGAAGCTTGCCGCCATTGGCACTAGGAGAAATGTCACCACAACAACTTATTAAGAAAATGAAAAATGCTAACAATTGGGAGCTGAATTCAACCAAAATTCAGCACAAGAGCACTCTAGGTTGACTCTGGCAGCTCAGATCAGGCTCAACAAAATACATGGTTCAATTGGCTTAGAATTACATGGGAGAGAAGGAGAGAGAACTACATAATCAATATTTACCTGTGGTGACACCAAGAAAGTGGGCATGAGGCCAAAGGAGAGAGCACACACAGATAACAGCAGGCAAAGAGATTCCTGCGAAAAGGTCACGTGAATATATCACGTGCCGGTAAATTACCGTTTCTAACCGGTAAATAACCTCTTCTGCTGGGCGGGTAGGTAAATAACGGTTATTTACCACCCCCGGAGGTTATTTCCACGACCCTAATGCCGGACCTATTCGGATACGGGGAATCGAACCCCGAGCTAGCGCGAACACGAAGGGAGGAACACATGAGAGGCGCTAATGTTCGCCGTTACACCATATCCGATATGCATTCACGCCGAGATAGAACGACAGATGCGAACCTAACAAAGTCATCATACAAATTGTAAGAGCCGAACGAAGTAAATAGTACTTATACACGACCCCGAAGCCGCCATGCTTCAGAAACCGTATCACAATCGTGTCCAGGCTGGCAAGCCACTTGTATGCTGGGCTTGGAAAACACGATTTCTTTGTCAAAGGCGAACAATAAGACGGGATGCTATAAAATAATCATTTCCGTTAGACGTTAAGAGCGCCGCCCACCGATACTAACGTTCATAGCGAGGCAGAAGATGGTGAAATGATTGCAGTAATTCAACGAGTAAACGAAACACACTACACTTTCGAAGCACCCAAAATGTTACCACTCTCCTTGACCAAGCGCTGCTTCACACCAGATAGAACCTTCGCCCGGTCGTCCAGCACTACATTGTGCGCATCTACATGTTTGTCGAATGTCGCGAACAGCTTCAGCTTCGTGCTATCCGCGTTATTTATGAGCATATGTACACGCGAAGACAGAAACGAGACAACGTACGTCATATGGCCCTTCACGAAATCCAAAATCTTGCCGTATTTTCCCATGATAACTAGGAGGTACATTAGCTCGTGCAAATCAATAAGAGTACCGGTATATACCATCGGCGCCAGCGACCCACTCGTCCATGGTGCAGTTCTTCCACTTCTCGATCAAGATTTCGTAGTTCTCGGTGTGCTCTTCGACGAAGAGATCCGCATCGCGTCCAAGGAGCTTGTTCAAGGCACCGCCTTCTTGCTGGGTTTGTGAGTTATTCTGGCTGGGGGTCTGTTGCTCGTATTGGCTTTCTTCCACTTCTCGATGTCGTGGGAATCCGCGCGCCTGGGGACTCGGTTCGTAGTTGGAGTGGTGCGAAGTTGCGATTGGGCTGGACATGCGGCTTGGGGAAAAGTTGCTGTTTGCGTATTGTGGATTTTCCTGCAGCGAAATAGTTAGGAAAAATAGTTACGAGAATGAGAGCCTCACGTCATCGTCTATCCTATAGCGCTTCGCATTTCCATAAGCGGTATCGTATGGATAGCCGCCGTCTTGGTCGTCTTCAAAGTCGTTTCTAGAGCGTTTGCTGGATATTCTGGGGTTGGACTGCGATTGAAGGAATTTGGAGTGATCCGGCGATGCGAAGGATTCGGTCGAGGTGA